TTTGTTTAGTTTGTAGGCTATTAAGAATTCTAGCACCAGAATTAATTGCATCGAGTAAAACAGCAAAATATAATTTTCATGATGAGCTGATTTGAAGGAGGGGAAGGAAATAAGAGTTGTGGTAAACAGAATGTGATGTATCTTGAGAGTATGGCCAGAAATTGATAAGAGATGCTGTTGAGATATTCCTGTAAAATTCCATTATCTACAGTAAGCAAGAATGAGATTTTTCTACTGTAAAATATGCGTCTTAGGCAACACTGCAGCAAAAACAGGTCCTCTAAATATGTTATGTAATTTAATTCCAAATGAAGAACTTTGTTTAAAATAAAAATAAGTCAAAACACCCTTTGATTTGCATTACACATCAGGGATTTTTATGTTCCATGCTCTGAAGTTCCATTTACCCTCCTCTTCATTCCGTTTAGCTAGAATCACAAGAATTAGGTTGTATTTTTAAAGGAAAGCAGTTGTTTCCTTGTTAAGATAGTTTCGAGTATGTCTCTGGCAGCGTCATTAAAGAATACGTAAAGTGATCTTTAACACATACCCATTCCCCAAAACTTTACCCATTAAAATAAATAATTTGGTTTTTTTCAAGCAATTGATGGAAACACTGAATATGTCCACGATTATTTGTTATAGTAGCATGGAAGTACTTTAATGACAGGTTCTGGAGCACTCTCAGATGCTGAGACTCAGTGCATATATTGTAGCATTTTTTGGGGCAAGAAAATAGTATTTCAACTTCCATTAGTGAAAAGACTGCTAGAAGGGAATTCATTAAATATTCTATTTTATTGCTCATGAAAATAATTCTGTAGTCTTCTATATGTATTAAAAAAAATCATTTGTTAGGATACGTGAATGTTTTATTGCTATTTTATAAACGTTGTTCTTCGAAACGGATCATAGAAGAGTCATAGTCTCACTTGGCTCTAAATAGCTACCATTCTTTGGTAGGAAAAGAAAAGATTTCTTAATGCTCATGCTTTAAGAAAATAAAAAGGACTAAGAGAACACATAAATACATCCGTTAGAGAGAAAATATTTTGACACCAAGTCAGGAACATGTGAATATCCTTCCTAGAATGGATCATGTTAATCCAACCATCAAGAAATACAAGATTTCCATTTCTACACAATTCTTTCACCTCAGTTTTGTGCAAATGGAGTTGTAGTGAATATTGGATGTAGATGAAAGGTTGACACCAAAGAAGAGGATTCACCAAGGAAATAACTCTTACAAAAGCCATATCCTCTTATTCTCACACTGACAGGAGAGTATATTACAGAAAATAGTTTATGTATCTTAGGATTTCAGAAATCATCACTTGACATGAAAAAAGTTTGATGAAAGAATCACTAAGCAATGCAACAAAATTATGCCTTCATCCAAAAAAAAGGGTACTTGGACCTATGGTCGCTAAGAGAACAAACACTGGGAGCTATCACTAGCATGTCGGCCAACCGAGGTTAGTTTAGTGAAAACTAACCATAAAGCTGATCAGCACCAAGTTCAGGTAAGCATTAGTTCAGTTAACAGCACTGTTCACCGCAGAAGAATGAACAAAGAAAAGTACTATGTGAAATACAGAAACAGCCAAATTCTAGAAGTTCACACTTTTCAGTCTGTGACTTTGGATTACTGTTTGTTAGAGGGCAAAAAAATCCCTTTATTATTCATCCATGGAAGAATTACAAAAATGCAATATAGTTATTCAAGTTGAGAAGGAAATGGTGTCCTTGTGACACAGCAAGAAACAGTCCTGTAAGTAGAGCACAAGGAATTTCAATGCAAGTGAGTAAGGCAGCACGTATGTGTTGGAGAAGTCCTTGGCAATAAAAAGGAAATACTCAGTAGCCCAGGCCAGCAAGTAGAAATGAGCATACACAGTAAAAAAACAAGCGGAATCATTCCAACAATTGCAGCATTCTATCAAACTTGATACATTCCCTCTGGAGCAGAAACTTACGCATTATCCTCCGTGACAAAATGTCCATTGTAATGGACCCCCAGTGAGACAATTTGTTTTGTAACAGATTCAAGAGAACTATACGTACTTAGTCGTGCAAAGCCTGTTTAAATATTGTGACGGGTTTCTGACAACTCCTGAGAGCCAGAGACTAGAGGGAGATAAAACCAGTGAGATTAACCATTTCTACAGTCTGATTATTTCTACAGCAATAACATAGAGTGCACAGTATTGCAACTTTTTTGTCATACAGCATCTCAATAAGCAGTTTGCAAAATTTCCACCAGTGGCCTGTGCAGTTCTGGCTGCTTTGAGTCTACTGCATTGTAAGGTGCTCCTGCTGCCCTGGTCCTGTTTTCAACAAGTCTTAGAAGACCAAAGACTATGGTGCAAACTGCCCTTGGGCAGTTTGATGGCAATGATACTAAGTTTCTAATGTCCCTGCCGGCTACTTGAAGAAAACCATTCAGAGATCCAGCAATGGTCATACTTACTTTGATATCAGTGCTGTTATCAGCTACTGGCTAACAGCATCACTGCCTGTGCTGTCTTTTTCAGCACAACCCCACTGCATCACCCTTCTGTTTCATGACACTGGCTGCTTTACTTACAGAGATTCCACAGTGTTCTTCAAAGACTGAAAAGATACCTGTACATTGGGATTGTCCCAGGAAGAAGAATTTTATCACTGCATATCAGTCTTGCATAGTGTTGGGAAAAGGAACTCATGTCTGGGAAGGCATGTGCTTAAGGAACAGGCCTAAGCCGTAAAGCTAAGCCAGATGTGCTGGACCAAATCCCTCGTAAACAAGAAACCTAACGTAGTTCCAAAGATGCCTGCTGACATTCAGAACTCGTGAACTGGGTATTTTCTAGGTTTTTTAGTGAGTCAAGTATGTTTAAGAGGAATGGTGGGAGGACTGCAACTGCTCCAATCTCAGAAATATAAATAGGCATAAGGCATGTTGTACCAATGCATTTCACACTAGGTTAGTTCTGTATGCACAGAACACATTTGCAGCATGATCCCGGTTACATGCACTGCAAGAAGTGCACCCAAAGGAATTGACAGTCAGGTTTTAAAATGCATGACACCGGTTTTGTATACCTTTTCTCTAAAACTTAATAAAATGTTGTTAGTCTTGGCCTTAAGGTTGGTATAGAAGCATTGCCAAAATCATTTTTTTTTTTTAAGAAAAAACCAACATTTTTTTTTTTCTTGTAAACTGTCAGTATTAGATATTGGTCACATCTACCAAGCATGTCTGTTCCACCTCGATTTTGCACTATTCTTAGGCTGTGATCGTTACTGAGATACTTTAGTGTCTCTTCGAAGCTGAAACAGACCTGATAGATCTCAGAAATTCCTCATCTGGCATTTCAAGCAAGGCAGCTGCCTGAAAGCTTCACTAGCCACTAAATCCAAGAGCTGCAAGAAAGTGCTTTTCTCAGCCAAGTCTTTATAAAGCTTTTCTTATACTTCTTGCACTCATCCCTTATGACAGCATGCTTTTATCTGCCCATTGTTACTTGCCAGATTCAGTCTTTGCCAGACACAGTCTTTGAAGGGCTACAGCTTTTTGTCTGTGTCTTGTTTTGCTCTTTAGTTAGTTACTAAAACTTACTTTCAGTTAGCCTTTATGTGGTTATTTCAAGGACATTCTAGAAAGTAATATGAGTCTACTAGTTACTAAACAGTTGCAGCTGTCTCATCAGGATACTGAAAACAGGACCAGCCCCAGGAGAGGTGCATTCTACACTGATTCATTGCAAGCAGAATTTGGCAAGAGATGGCAGCAAGTGTCACTTCAGTGGCAGGTTTGTTGCTTTTGGTTTTGTTTTGGGTTTTTTTACCTATCTGGACTTTCAATTACTCCATTCCTTTTTCTTATTCAGTGTTACTGCTGAAATACTTTCCATGTCCCATTTTTACCTTGTCCAAAAACATTCAACTTGTCCTCACAAAATACGTGAGCCAAATATGTCTTGTATGAGGGATATGCAGACTGACAGCTCTCTGTTAGCTCATTCATTATCTATTCAATACTCATAACAAACTCACAGGCCAAAAACATTCAAGGGTTTGTTGGTTCTTCCCTATACTTAGGAGATATTTCTGTAAGCTTAAGACTTTAAGAGGCACAGGAAAAACTAATTTGTAAGCTTATACATATTTAAAGCAACAACATACTCTCTTATGTATTCAGTAATAAAAAAAAGTCTTTGTTATCTTAATACTGCAGCATCTTCCAGTGGCTTGTAATAGCTTTCCAATATATTTATCAGCCAATTTCTACTTGTTATCATCATTGAGTACCAGCGATATGCACTGAATACACTTGATTCCACTTTCCAGCACAGGCCTTTTCTGTCATGAGCATCAAACCAACTTCTTCTAGATGCAGTTAACCTCTGTTAACCTCTTCAGTGTCACTGTGAAATCCTTAGTTTAGTAGCTGGTCATGCTTAAGTACAGGCTACAGGAAAATCAGTTGACATAAGGCTGAAGTTGTTATTTTGTCTCCATGAATATAAACAGGTATGTTAGATCACATTACCCAACATAGAAAAAAAACCCCATACCCTTTGATAAACCAAATTATCAAAATCAAAACACTAACAGGTCATTGGCAAGAAACTAGCTGGATCATACAGCAAACCTCATAGGGACTAATAGTTACGTACTTATCTATTTCTTAACAGTGTGTTTTCTCTGTTTTCTTAGGCAGAAGAATCATGAAAAAAACCCAAATGCGTATCCTTCAACACGAGTAGCACTTAGCATTACATCTTAATCTAGATTTTTAGAGCCGCAGAAGAGACACTGTTCCTCAGTATGAAATAATACATTTAGTATTATTCTGATAAAACGCAGAGAGAAAGCAGCACATGGGAATTACCAGGAGCAAAATAAAATTGTCAGTTTTCTTTCAGTGGGAGAGAACATGAAGCTGAGAAGGGAAACGAAGTTAATCCTGATGCTAACGTGAATGGAGAAATGTTCCTTATACACGAGAAACTTACCAGTACTGTTCGCCCCTGGGAAATAAAGAAATGGCCAGATACAACAATGGTAAGGATAAGATGGCCTGACTCTTCATTTGATTCAAAAACCTTTAAAAAGATAGACAAAATAAAAATTTAGCCCTGTAAGCACAAAATCTGCATTTTCCATTTCTAGTGCAAAATAAGAGGTTTCAAAGGTCAGTGCTACAAGTCAAGTGTATAATTTACCTCTCAGTAATACAACTTGCCCTTCACTCCCACAGACAGAAGGTACATTTATGACTTTTTTTACTAACTGTACCTCCATATAAAGATTTAACTACTTTAAACAACCATACAGACTCTTCCAACTTGATCTATAGTTTTTAATACCACAGGTCACTGCTGAAGGAAGGAGTATTTAAAAAAAAAAAAAGGCCACTACCTGTCATATCATTGCTGTGTTTACTCTAATAATGTATGAGGCAAAATCTCTCCCGATTAGCTCTGGACTTGCAAAAATATACCTGCAAGGCCGCACTTGTTACTGCTTGCTACACAGCGGCCTCCTAGACCCCACTGGAGCCAGTTACAGCACAGCCAAGCAGCCAGGCCCCCCCGCGCCGCCCGTCACCTTCCAAGAGGAGGTGTTTTGCCCTTCATCGTCGCTGTCCGTCGGGGGTAGGAAGCGGCCGTAGCGCTTCAAGGGCCACGTTGTGGCGCTGC